CTGAACTCAGTATAAGCCCTGCAGACATAAAATTGAATGAGTTTTTAACCTTTAAAAAAGATCTCCAATTCATTTTAAAATATACTGTTTCTTAGAGAAAGGCGCATCATATTTGCTCACAACACTGAGATGTTGGTGCTTGCGTCTCTCATCTGTATGTACCTGATTATTTCAAGTCATAATCGGTTGCACTCAGGTCCTTGGCACCTGTGTATTTCTATAAAGTCAGCGGGTAGATTTCAGTGGTAATGTTTATCACCTCTACTAATTAACATGACATAAATTTTTATGCTTCCACCTCAAATGTAATTAATTTTTTAAGTTGTTGATGTGTGTGTGTACGTGTGTGTGTGTGTGTGCGTGCATGTGTGTGTGTGTCACAAAGAAAATCCCAAACCATCTTATTCAACTGTACACCCACTTCCCATATGGTACCCTCCCATAGCCTCCCTCCCACAAATAGAGACCTTATACTCTGTTATCGCTGCTACTGTCCTCTGTGATGTCATCACCCCCAGCTATTCCCCACTACTTGTCCATCTGGTGAATCTAGTCAGCCTATCTAGAGGTCTTTGTTTTAGGAAGGTCAACTGTTCCTCATCTAGCAGCAATTGGTTGTCAGTATTCCTTTATATAAGATTGGGGTCTGCTGTTCATTTTCCCAGTTCTGTGATGGGTTACTATCTGGGAGTCCCTTTGGCCACCCTGGCCAACAACTCAAAAGAAGGTATCTCCTATCTGGCATTGTTGCTTGTTTTGTAGCCTTTAGCTATACATATGGACTCTTAGAAAATTATACTGGTCCCTTTAATCTTTGGTTATACCTTTCTTTTGGGTGTTTAAGGTCATACAGTTGGCCCAGATAAACCAATCTATATTTACTCCTAAGGCCATTTGACGATCTGTTCCTCAGGGGTCACATGGGCTTGGGAGGAGCCCCTGGCTCCTTTGTTTTACCAGTTCCACCTATGTGAAGATAAGTCAAAGGTCCTGCTTGACCATGGCTGGCTTTGCATAGAAGCATGGAGGAAATGATTTCTCTGTGTTGACCCTCTTCTTTGTAGACTGGACACTGGTTCAAGTCCATCTGGTGGGGTCTCC